TCCTGCCTGTCACCCACTGTGGGTGCCAGGAGAGGGCATGTCCCAGGGGACAGGGCCATGCCAGTGCTCTCCCTCCACACCCAAGGAGAAGGGTTGGGACCATGCCGTGCCCTGGCGGGCAGATGGGGCAGCAGTGGGGCTGCCCCCACGTTTTGGAGCAGTGGTGACTCGCAGAAGGGCTGGAGGGTGCCCCCACGCCTGCACTGCGTGGCCCCATGGGGCCCGGGGTGCTCGGGACTCCCCCTCCAAATGCCCAGCCTGAGGATGCCCTGGGGTGGCGGGGATGCTGGGACCGCCTGTGCCCCCTTGCTTTTTATTGCTTGTGTGGCAGCCAGCAGCTCTGGGGGGCACAGGGCAGGAGCTGCTCCAGGTACTCAGTGATGAGGGTGTCAAGGTCTATTCGGATCTCTCAAATTTACAGGACAACATACACTGTGATTTAAACTTTATTTCATGAGCTCATTAAGAAATACAATAAAAAAACATGATGAACAAGGGTTCAATCCCCTTTTGCTTAGACTAGTCTATCACATTAATTCACTTATTCACCATTCAAGTCATAAGATTTCATAACTTATAACCTGTAACTCTTAATATCATGCACCTATGAGCAAAAGAAAAGAATTAGTTGCCGAGAGTGAGAGTGCTCACCCTTCCTCCTCCATCACTGTGCAGGCATCCCCTGTATCACACCAGGAAGCATGAAAACCCCAGCAGTCCAGCTGCTTCAAAAGCTTTTTGGGTAAGCTGATGTTTTATACCTTCCAGTTTGGAGGTTTGGTCTATACCATTTTCATAAGTTAGTGGATTCTGAGGAAACTGCCAGACAAAAGATGATGGCTGCAGGAGACAGCAATTTGCAGGTGATAATGGCTGCATCATGGCCCTTCAGCTCTTCCTGGCCACCTGTCCTGCCTCTTGCTTTGACCTAATGGTGCTGCTCCCATCATACATCAGGCCTTAGCATGAGCTGTGTTAGCCAAAATCTGAGCAGGAGTTGAGTGAACAGTCACGTGGGGGTGGAGAAGGCTGCATTCCTCTGAAAGGGACTGGCCCCAGTGCAGATGCTGGTGACACCCTGGAGGGGAGGAAAGTGGAGAGGTCCCCATCAGCAGCTGAGTCCCCCAGGTGCTGGCAAGGTAGGGTGCCAGGGGGCTTACAGACGGGCTGCAGGCTTGCTCCAGCCAGTAGCTGCGGGGCTGCTCCATGCAGTAGCTGTGGGGCTGTGGGCGGAAGCAATGTGACACCTGTGGGCAGGGGGGACGGTGTGCCCAGCAGGGGCCATGGGAGCCTTGCAGGTTCCCTGGGGGCTGTCTCCTGCCTGCTGCAGGCAAGCTCTGGCAGCGCCGGGCTGGGGCAAGCCGTACCTGCGTGGCAGGTAGCAGCGTGGGCTGGCAGCCTCTGATGCATGTCCTGGTGCATGGTGGAGACTGACTCCATGGGCATCCGTGGGGGACAGATCTCCAGCATCTCCTTCCTGCCAGCAGAGCAAGGAGGCACGAGCTGCCCCCCCATGACTCAGCTCTGGGGTCCCCCCCTGCCCTGGGCAGGCATCCACAGCAGGGTCCCCCCCTCTGGGGCATCACTCCAGGGGTGGGTGGCACATGGGAGCACAGGCTTGCCTGTATTTCTGGTAGAGCATGGACTCCAGTGTGGCCTCCCACTGCCTTGGGGGGGGAGTAGGTACTGTCAGCCCCACAGCTGAGCCCCCCTTGCTGCCTTTTTGTGGGGCATACAGCTTGGGAGGGGGGGCTCAGCCTCACCTCACCCCTGCAGTGGGGCCCTGTGCAGCAGGTGGTTAGGTATCCTTCGCGGTGGTGCTGTCAGTGGGCTGGGAGAGGAGCTGGTGGGCTAGCAGTCTGTGATGGTCACGCCAGTAGGCAAAGCCCTTGCTGCCCAGCTCCCGCCCTGGCACAGGGTCCAGGCGGTTCATGGCTCTCTGGGGATGGACGGCGGGGGCTGCAGGAAGGGGGCAGGAGCCCACCCTGCGATACCCCATGCCTGCTCCCAGCTTTTAGGCTTTTGATGGTCCCATGGGGCTCTGGGCAGGGTTGGGAGGTGGGTGTGAATCCACCCCCTCCTGCTGAGTGTCCCCAAACTGGGGACACTGCCCCATACCCAAGGCCATGCCAACCCTGTGTTTCCCCCGAGCTTTGCCCACCCAGAGTGCTGCCCCAGTGCAGGGTCCTGCCCGCACCGCTGTGCTGGCAGCACCTTCATCTCGGCTCTCCAGGTGGGCCCCCAGCGCCCTGGCAGCAGGGTGCACCACAACTGGGTCCTGCACTGGGCAAAAGCTTTACATCACCCCCAACATACGCCCGTCACCCTGAAACTGGGTGCCCAGAACAAGCCCTGGGAGCAGCCCCAGAGGCACAAGCTGCGAAAAGGAGTGACAATCTTTCCAACTGGCTCCCCAGGAAAGCTGGAGCAGGGGCACCTGTGGCTTGGGCAGGGCTGAGCCTCTCCTGCCTGCCAGGGGTCAGCTGGGTAAGCGCTCTTACAGCATTCAAACAAACCAGGGGGTCCCTGGGCCGTGACACGGCTTGGCCCCATGTCTCCTCTAGACCAGCTCGCCCAAGCAGGCATCTCCACATCCCTGCAATGGGCTGTGACACCCAGCTCCCTCTGCCCAAAGCCTCGCCATCACTCCTCACATGCCTGCCCATGCCTTTCACGCTATTGAATTTCATCCCCTTTCCATCCAGCCGGGCTCAAGGTCATCCGGGGAGCTCTGGCTCAGCCAAGGTCAGCTATTTAAAGAGAGGGGGCTGCCCAGGAGCAGGGGGCTTCATGGGGTAGGCAGGTGGGACGTGAATGGGGCAGGTTTTGAGGGGCATTTCCCCTTATGGCCCCCCCAGCTGGTGGTTACTTCCTCCTGCCGGTTGTGGATCAAGCAGCTCCCCTGGGGCACCAATGGGCTGGGCTGCTCTGCTGGCCTCTGTGGGGAGGTGGGCAGCACCAGCGCTGTGATGGGGGGCACCTCACCAGGGCAGGTCCCTGGCTTTCCAGGGCAGGGCAGCAGCTCGACACTGCAGGGCTCCTTCCCAGCCTCAGCGGGCAGCACCACACTGGGCCAGCAGGACCTCAGCAGCCACCTCAGCCGTGGCCAACAGCATCTTCTGGGGCACTTTGGCCATAGCTGACATCTCCTAGGGTATCTTGTTCATGGCCACCAGCATCTCCTGGGGCATCTCAGTCATGGCTGCTAGTGTCTCCCTGTGGCACGGGGGCTTCTCTGTAGGCATCTCAGGCAGGAGGACATTGCTGTGTACCCTGACCGCGCACGGTGGCCTCTCCCTGGGGCACATGGGAGGCACATGACCTGTCAGAGCCATCCTGCGGATGGGGACACAGTCCCTGAGACAAGGCAGTGGGGCACACCCTTCAGCCCCCACTATCTGCCATGACCCCAGCCCACACTAGTGCAGGCAGGGCCCTGAGGCTGGGGACCCTGGGTCCCCTGTGGTATAACCCCCATCCTGGGGCAGCGGACAAAGTACTCCTCTCCCTTG